ATCCATGACATCAGTTATTATCAGATCCCATTCCTCTTATCTGCACATTGTTGCTAAAGGAGCAATGTCCATTGGTATTGCTAAGCATCCTTCTCAAACTCCTTGCCTTTGTCTAGTGCACCCTCTTGTTCTTCTTTGTCCTTAAAAGGCAATTTTTCCCTGAAGAATGGACTTCCAAAGATGCCTCACTGTACTCCCAGGTAATCTCTCTCTCTCTCTCTCTTTGAGGTCTCCACATCCCTACAATGTGTTTTTATGTTGTTTTCTGATGCTCATCAGGTTGGTAGGTCATATTCTGGTTTGATTCCTCTTGTTGGTGTAGCTTTCTCCATCCCTCCTGTGTAGGCTTGCATTGATCATTTGTTGAGCTGCTTCCATTTTGTCTTTTAGCTCACGAAGTACTTGTGCCCCTCTGTCATGTGCCTCTTTATTGTGTTTATGTATCAGCTTCTAAATTCTTCTCCCTTATTTCATTTTTTTTTTTGATAATCAAGAAATTGAGGTTGTATGATCTGCATCTCTTGCATCATATCAATTATCAGCTGTTTGGTGAGGCTTCTCTCCTTTTCTTGCAAACCCCAACTGTGAACATTTGAATTTTGAAAATCACTTCTAACACTAGGGTTTTGGCGGGCTGACATTGCCCAGGGTAGCAATATAGTGTGAGGGTTTTCATTGTCACTGTCTAGCTGTCTTCTGACTCCAATTTACAATTAATGGATGATCTAGACACCACATCATCATCTTGTCCAAGTATTTGACACCCTGCTCAGATTCACCTTTAGGATGCTTTAGGACTGGGTGGTTTATACTATTAGTGAAAGAAACTTTCTTGTTTTAGGACAAATCTTTTAGGCCAAAGAGAACCAAGAGTCTGGGATTAATGCAACAGAAGAGGTTTTAGCAAGAAAGAAATAAAAAAGAAGAATCTTTGGGTGATGTTTATCAAGCAAACAAGAAAAATTCAAGAGGAATACCCAGAGCACATAAGGGAATCAAGCATGAGGTGGGTGTGAATATGGAGGAGGGAGAGATTAGGGAGAGTGCAGAAGTTCTAGGGTGTGAAGTTTTGGAATGGCCTTTGAATTATTTGAGGCTGCCATTAGGGGATAATCCTAAGAGAGAGAGAGAGAGAGCTTCTAGAACCCAGTGGTGGAAAGATTCGAAAAGAGACTTGCCTCTCTCTTGGTGGAAGGACTACACTGATTAAGGCCACGCTAGGAAACTTACCAATTTATTTCCTGTCAGTATTCAAAATCCCAATGAAGGTTTCTAGTAGGTTGGAGAGGATGATGAGAGATTTCCTTTGGGAGCCGAGAGAGGAGAAGAGGGACCATAGAAAAAGGAATATGGCTCTTTTGGGGAAGTGGTTGTGGAGGTTCCCATTGGAGCAGGAGAAGCTTTGGGCTAGAATAGTGGCAAACATACATGGGCTGGAGCAAAATGGATGGGATGCTGGAATCAAAGCTAGGACCACAAGCACTTCTCCTTGGAAAGCCATTCATGATCTGCTACTAGTTTTCACCCCTCTTATCAGGTATGATTTGAATTCAAGCAACTCCATAAAATTTTGGGAACAAACATGGGTGGGGATTGCTCCTCGAAATGACTAGTTTCCTTCTCTGTATGCTCTATCTGATTTTAAAAATGAGCCAGTTCTTTCATTGCCCCTTCCTCTTCTAGTTCTGGGCCTGGGTAGAACCTGGGTCTGAGAAGGGCTGTGAGGGACTCAGACCGACTCAGACCTTGACAGTATTTCGAGCCTCCTTGAACTTCTTGACAATGTCTTCTTAGAGCCCACTAAGGTGGACTCTAGAATTTGGACCCCTACCCCCACTGGCTCTTTTCCTTGTGCTTCCTTCTTTAAAGTCTTAAGGTAACCCACCAGTCTTGCTACCCCCCCTTTCCCTATTAACGAGGTTTGGTGCAGGCCAATTCCTCCCAGGGTTTGTAGTTTTTGTTGGGAAGCCTATCTGGAAAGAATCAACACTGGTGATCTGCTCCAAAAGAAGAGACCCAATACTTTTGCTTGTCACCTCATTGGTGTGTTCTTTGCAAAACGGAGGGGAAGATTGGTTCCACTTACTGGTGTCTTTCCAATTTGCAAAGTCTACGTGGGAGTGGGCCTTTTCCCTTTTTGGGTGTAGCTGGAACCCTCCATCAGACATCCAGTGCCTTTTCTTCCCTTCCTTTTTCAGGTGGCGTATGAAAAGGGGAAGGACTATGTGGAGAGGACTGAGGGCTGCAGTATGCTGATCATTATGGGAAGAAAGAAATTCCAGGATCTTCTCAGAAGTTGAGAGAGGGGTTGAAGAACTGAGGGCCCTAATCCATATTAGGGCTGTATAGTGGCTAAAATCCTTAGAGCTGTTTATAGATTACACAGTGGATGACATGTCGAGGAAGTGGGGTGAGATTGCACACTGTACATAGGCCAAATTAGTAATGAGTGTGCCCTGTCCCCCACCCACACCCATCCACCTGCTGGATTAATAAAACTAAACTTTGATGGTAGGGGGAAAGGGATTGGGGGTGTCTTTAGGGATGAGAATGGGGTCATTTCTGCCTTGTTCTCAGGCCCAATTGGAGTGGGTGACTCCCTTAGAGCTGAGATCTCTGCAGTTATGGAAGGAATCCAGAAAGCTAAGGAGATGAATATAAAAAAACTCATAATTGAAGGGGACTCGGAGGCGGTGATAGGGTGGCTGAGTAAAGATAACAGTGGCTTATGGATTTACAGCAATGAGAGGAGACAATTTAAGTGGATGGTGCGGGAGATGGAAGTGAAGATGATTTGGGTTAAAAGATCAAGTAATTCTTTAGCTGATGGCTTAGCTAAACAAGGGGTAGAAAGGGATGTTTTGGGCTAATTTGTAATTTTGTTGTTTCTTCCTTTCCTTTTTCTTTTCTTCTTGAGGGCTCAAGTTGTTTTTGGAAGACAAGAGTGTTTGTCTTCCCTCTTGTAATTATTTTAATGATGAATTAATGAATTTGTTATTGATCAAAAAAAAAAAATCAAGCATGAATGCAATGACTGAAGATTAGAGTGAATAAGTAATCAACATCAACTAAGATTCAATAAATAATGCATAGAAATGATATCTGAATGCAAGGATAGGAAGAGTTGGCTTTTACTTGATTAAGAGAGGGAAGATGAAGAACATAAGAAAACCCTTAAGAATTCCAATTGTTGAACCTGATAAGGGCAGCCCAGTGCATGAGGCTTCCCCCAATGCTGTGTCTCGGGAGGGACAGATGTATGCAGCCTTGTCCCTGTACATACACAGAGGCTGTTTCTAAAATTGCCGAACCTGATAATTCCAAATTTTTAATCACTCTTTGTCATGATGGTCTTTTGAAGACTTTTTTTATATAAAGAGAATCAGGCATGGAGGGAGATATTTGGTTCCTGCTATGGAATTAAGAGGGGGTACAGAAGTTGAAGAAGGGATTACTGAGTTGGAGCTGGTGATTTCATGTGGGAAAAACTCTTGTGGAAAATGAGATGGTTGGGACTGACAAAATATCTGAAGTGGAAATTTTTACAAGTAACAGTTGGGAGATTGGGAAAAAGATTCTAGTAGAAAGAGGCTGGAAGCTAACAAGGAGGGTAAGGTAAGAGAGGATAGAACCACAATCAGAACTCCTTTAAATCCAAAAAAGTTGAAGGGTTTAAACAATGGCCAGTTGGTTCACGTTACTAAGGTCTTTTCTAGATTGAAAGATGGTCTCACTGGAGCAGGTCCAAGCAGCAAATTCAAGAGGATGTACAAGAGAAAGAGGACGAAAGCCAAGGATAGAATGAACAGAGAGGAGGATGGAGGAAAATCATCAAACCAGGATCAAGAAAGCTTGAAGATGGGGCCGACTTTTGAAGCTCAAAAAGATGTATTGTCATGAGAAGAGAATTTGTCAAGGAGTGAAGATGAATTAGAGGAAGAGAAGGCAAAAGGGGAAGAGGAAAATGAGGAGGTGAGGGTTGATCAAATTTGAAAAATACAAGATGTGGTGGTAAGAGAGGAAGCTTTGTTGGGGGTGGAAGATGAAATAAAAGTAGAGTTTGAAGAAGGAAAAGAGGAAGATGAGGGGAGCAAGCTTTGGGTCCTTTGAGGGGAGTGGGTTTTGTTGGCAAGAGTGCTATGATATTTAAGGGTTTTGGAAAAGGAAAGATTTTTTTTGGGTATTTCAAGGTATTGGAGGGATTGTTTGTTTTGGGTTTGAAGTTCTTTTCCTTTGTTGTGTGAAATTTTGTCACTTCTCTTTTCAATAAAATTTTCTTTTTTATTTATTACCAAACAAAAAATGAGGGTTGACGAGCTTTTAAAGACACTTTCCTACTCAACTGAGGCCCCATTGGTAAAATAGTCGCAACCCCTCCAAAACACATTGGGTTGCAATGTGTTTTGCCTCATCATCATCATCATCATCATCATCATCCAAGCCTTGTCCGAACTATATGGGGGTCAGCCACATAGGTCCTGTTTTGCCAGTCTGTTCTGTTTAATGCCATATCCATTGTTAAATTATTGATGCTCAAATCATTTCTTACTTCTATCCATGTCCCTTTGGTCTACTCCTTGCCATTCTAGGTTCTAGACCCTTCAACTTGCAACAAATGACTTCTTAGGGTTGCTGTTGATACTCTTTCTATTAACATGATCAAACCATCTTAATCTATTTTCTCTCATTTTACGCCAGTTTTCTCCTGGACTCTCTTGCAATATGGAAATGAGCCCAGAAGCTGTTTTCTGGCCTTCTCTTGTTTTCAGATCTGATCATTTGGGCTTCCCAAATGAAATCATATATAGATAAAGCAAGGCATGCTGATTCGTTTAGGCTTTTCGGATGATACTTGACGGTTCGTAGTATGTTTAGGTTTTGCTAGTAGATTGGTCTGGAAAACTTATTTCCCTTTTGATACTTAACATACATGTATTAGTTTCATTTCATCCACTTGATTTGTGTGACATACTTCGTAAGTATCTTTATTTTGCACGCAGGGCGCTGGCGCAGGCAGTGGTTATGGGTATCCAAATAGTGGAGCATACCCACCTCGACAGGCGTACTATTGAAGTCACAAAAGCTTTGGTAGTGGAGCGTACTTTATTTGATGGATTCATCATGGGTGGGAATCCTTTTTAAAGTCTCATGCCACA